TCGTTAAACAGAGGTGGAGGCCTCCGTTTTCAGTTGTCCCCCTGCTACAGCGCGGCTATTGCCAGTATCACTCCTCCCCCCTGTTAACAATAGGTGTTAATTAGGTGTCAACGATAGCCATGTGACGTGAGTATCAGTCACATCACAAAAGCCTGAATTTTGCCTGAAACTCTCAGASTGAAGAAGTCTCTTGGAGGAGAGATGAAACGTTTCATTAAAGAAGAACCCGTCCAGAAGATCTATACACATTTTTTTATTTTAATGCAGTGTGTTGTTTTCCCCATCTCGTTTTGAAATAAAATTAAACATAAACAATAGTTGAATAGTAAAATGTAAAATATGAAAGTTGTGACATTATCCATAAATTCTCTTATCTTTAAATAAAAAGTAATTAATTTTTTTATTTCACTGTAACTGTTGTTGAATAGTTTAGCCACTAGGGGGCGACATCACATCAACTGAAGCAGGAAGTCCGTCTTACAGTTCAGACGTCGATCAAAAGTGAAGCAAACTGCTGGCTGCCGAGTGACGCGCTCGACCTGTAACCAATGAGCTGCAAGACTAGTGTTTCACAACACGGGAGGGGCGGGACTTGTTACAAAACTTTTCTTCCGCGTGGCTCTCTGGCGCCAATTATGTCCCCGGTTCACAGCTGCGTAGTTGGTGTTTCACGGCAGGTTCTGGTGTTAGGAGATACGAACCACGCAGAGAGCTCATCAAAATGACCAGCAGACGAACAAAACGTGAAGAGACCGTGAAGGTGCAGTAAAACTAGCGTTTGTTTTTATTAAATTAGGCTGTGAGGCAGCGGCAGAACGCTAAGGTTTGAGACAGTTTAACTAAAGCAACGTTTTGTTTAGACTTGTTTTTCTTACTTTGAAAGTTAATATGAGGAGTTTAGGTTCTTTGTTTGGTTGTTAATTGTGTTTTGACGAACAGAACCTGACTCCAGAGGCAGCAGTTCGACGGTCATCTCGCAGAACCCGGCTGACACCGAAGCGCCTCCAGTACTCCCCGGACAGAGCTGACGAGAGCCCCGGGAAGAAGAAGGTCCGTGAGACCAGAGGACGTCCATGATGCAGCTTTATTAAGATGTGGTTAGTTTTTTTTTTAAATTTGTGAATAAACACATCTTTTGTTGACAGAAATCAAACTCACAAACAGGAAAAACGCTTCAGAGGAAGACAATAAAGGATGAAGAGCCTATAAACAGTGATAAATATGTAAGTTTTAAACCCCTGCACACATTAATTTAGACAGAGTTGTTTTCAGACACTTCTGTCAGTGTTTTTGGTGTTTTTATCCAACAGGGTAATGGTCTTTCTGCGTATGAACTGGAGCGGCTGGAGAACATCAAACAGAACCAAGCTTTCCTGTCCTCCATTAACTTGTTCCAGGTGGGTTCATGTCCTCAAAGGTTACAGTTTTACAGCTGTCTGTGACTTTATTTAAAGGCGAACAAGTAGATGAAATGTGTTTAACTGATTTAACCCAGGCTTCACCCACATGTTTCTAAATTACAATTATTTTTTTGTCCAAAGGCAACGGACGAGTTGAAGCAGCTGACTCGACCAAAGGCTTCACAGCGAGGTTTAAGGTAGTTTGTGTGGAAATTAAAATGTACTTCAATAAGTACATTGTTATGTATACAAAGTTTACAATATACAAATGTTTTCAGTCAGCAGGTTGACAGTTTTAGGAGCTGCTTGAGTAAAACTTTCTCGTTCTCCTCCTCATCCTCTTTGACCAAAAATCAACATCCATAGGCTTTCTGCTTACATGTTTTATTTAAATAGGAGTACACTGTGTACATGACCTTATTAAAGTTACAGTTTAGTGTTCTTAGGACTGAAGACTTTATGAGGAAAGAGGTTTTTAAAGGGATCCCCAATTATTTGTAATATTAAACTTTATTTAATAAAGATATATTTCAACTGTAAAATAAAGACTGTAAAAATACTGTAGGCTGTTTAGTTTTTATAATTTTTAAACTAAAAGTTAAAAAATATAATACACGGACGGGGCTATTTTATTTACACGCAAAGCATTCTGGGTAAATGACGTGGATAGGTCCTCTGTGTGAGTGAGCTATATCCACCCTGAAGGTTAATCTTGGACAATATCTYATGATTGACTCTTTTAAATGAAACCAGAGAGCGTTGACAGAGAGGAGAAGGTAGAAATGACTCAGCCTG